CCTGCATATTCCAAGGTCTGTAACTCTCCCATGGGAGGGGTAGTATGATTTACTACACCTGCTATGAGGTTATCTGGTCCATCGCTAAGGTGGCAAATGGTTAAGAGAGATAGGGAGGGGAGGGCTAGGGCACTCCTGCCAACTATGTGCCAGTTCATTGTCTCATTTCATAGTTGATATTTCTTAAGTACTCACCATTGACTCTCCCATTTAATTTTACAATTTTTTTCATTATGCCCATTTTGTAGGTGAGAAAAATGAGATGTTACCAGCCTGTGTGATCACAAGGTGCAGAAGCGATCATTTATCAGGCAGCAAAGAACAAAAAAAACATATCATTGTGTGCTCACCTCCCCGATACGATTGCTGAAGACAAATGGATGCATAAGCAAATGTGGTGAAGAAAGCTGATGGTGGCCAGCTATCAAAAGATATAGCATCTGGGGTCTTAAAGGCTTGAAGGTAAACAAGTGGCCATCTAGCTCAGAAGCCACAAAACCCACATGGAAGAAGAAGTAATCATAAGGTGTTGAAGGGATCAGGTATCAGGCATCAAAGAACAAAAATCATATCATTGTGAATGAGGGGGAGTGCGGAGTGGGGACCCAAAGCCCATCTGTAGGCAACTGGACATCCCCTTACAGAAGGATTGTGGGGAGGAGACGAGCCAGTCAGGCTGAAGTGTAGCAATGATGAAACATACAACTTTCCTCTAGTTGACCCCCCCACCACCCCACTATCATGATCCTAATTCTACCTTACAAATCTGGCCAGACCAAAGGATGTACACTGGTACAGACAGGAACTGGAAACACAGGGAATTCAGGACGGATGATCCCTTCAGGATCAGTGGTGAGAGTGGCGATACTGGGAGGGTGGAGAGAGGGTGAGAATGGAAAGGGGGAACTGATTACAGGGATCTACAGATAACCTCATCCCTGGGAGACGGACAACAGAAAAGTGGGTGAAGGGAGACGTCGGACAGTGTAAGATATGACAAAATAATAATTTATAAATTATCTAGGGGTTCATGAGGGAGGGGGGACTGGGGAGGGAGTGGGGAAATGAGGAGCTGATGCCAGGGGCTTAAGTGGAGTGCAAATGTTTTGAGAATGATGAGGGCAACGAATGTACAAATGTGCTTTACACAATTGATGTGTGTATGGATTGTGGGGAACAAAAAAAAGCCAAATACTTTGCCCACCAGTCAGTAAATGAAGGTCCAGAGTTTCAACACAATGAGCCTGAACCTTGTCTGAAAAACTGTGTTGCGGAAGCTTTGGACTGCTAACCATAAGGCCAGTGGTTCAAAACCCACCAACTGTTCTGTGAGAGAAAGATGATGCTTGTGTAAAGATTTAGAGCCTGGAAAACCCTATATTGGGTGGCTAAGAGAATTCACTTGACAGCAGAGGGCTTGGTTTGTTGGCAACCGATGTGTTGGATGCTTAGTCAACACCGGATAAAAGCATCAGGTGGGCTCTGAGAATAGAGGGCTGTGCTTGCGATCAATGGAAGCACAGCAGAGGGATGATGAAGTGGGTCTCTGGGGTCTGCACTGTGGGTCCTTAGGCAGGACAGGACATTGGCAATGTGGAAACTCAGGGAATGCTGTCCTAAAGGAAGCACGAAGACAGATGTTGCCCATCTGTCTATACCATCTGTGTCAGACTCTAAAGAACGCACAGAAAGAATGTGAAGCGAACTGTCTTGGGTTCAACATCCTTCAAGGGTCACATTGATTATTTTATATTTTCCCAACTCCATTGTCAGTTTCTCAAGAATATCTATTTCTTACTCACTTAGCACAGCTAAGCATCTTGCTTCGCACCCATAAGGTATTTAATGGACACAAGTCAGTAAAGCCCCAAACCAAACTTACTGCCATTGAGTCAGTGCAGACTTATAGCAACCCCGGTAGGTTTCCAAGACTGTAACTGTTTAGGGGAGCATACAGCCTAGGTTTTCACCCGAGGAATTGCTGGTGGCTTTGAACTGCCTCCTGTGTAGAACGCAGCCCGGTTCAAAATCAGTACACCACCAGGGCTCCCTTAAAGATGTGTGGATTTGATAGGCTAGGGCTGATTTTAGTAGAGGCATTTCCCACTAGGCTTGGAAGTCTAACATCAGCTACTAAAATAAAAGTTCTCCTTTTAGCAAGACAAATCTACAGTAGGCAGTGGAATTAGCCTGCCATGATTTCATTTCATTTCATTTTAATAATGATGAAATATGAAACCATTATATTATTAAATAATTGTCGTGTTAGTGTTATAATATAATACACACTCTAAATTGTTTATATAAAATTGTGTTATTAAGAAATTAATAGTGAATCATATTAATCGCATTATTTAATGACTATCCTTATTCTCAGTATCTTTTGCTGTCACTTTATAGGTTTTGGTTTGTATGGCAAACATGTAATTTTAGGCAAGGGACATTTTAAAACAAATACAAGTTGTCATTTATATTTTAAGACATTAAAATGTATTCCCCTATAATTATACTGAAGTGTGACACCATCAACGTAGGTAGGCTAGCATGTCAAGCAAGATTGAAAGAGATGCCACCTCCTGTGGGGCGGACTGGCACTTGGCCGGTTCACTTCCATCGCTCAACTTCCCAGGGAATGTAGTCCGGCTTGTTTCCCGGGCCCCCAAAGGAGCTCTTTTCTAAAACACGGACTTCTTGGGGACCTTACTCGTCAAGTCAGCTCCTGGCACTGCCAACTCTTTGGGTCTTGGGTTATAGAAATGAACTGAGAGTCCTTTGATGGCAAGAAAGGCTTTCTCTACTTGCTGACTTATGCTCACATTTATTCTACAATGGCTGTTATGTTTCTGTGCATAAAGGAGATTCACGCTGAGCCCTAGCCACCAGCGGCTTCTGCCTTCGGCTCAGGGAAATCCAGAGTCTGAGTGCCTAGTAGAGTCTTTTCCTTCTGCTGGGCCCCGAGAGAGGATCATTTATTTCTGTCTGCTTCCTCCGCAGACGAGGCTGGGCTAAAACTTCTGAGCAGCAGCACCATGTTCCGTAAGATACTCAGTGCTTGCTCTCCCTCTTCATTTACCTGGCCTCGGCCACTCTTTTCTGTGTCCTTGACAGTTTCTAAAATTAACATCAACGCTTTTGAGTCTTGAAAACTACCTGGAATGTCTTCACCCCTTTCTTCCTGACCGCGGAGTGCCCACGCGCTCACGGCAGCCATTAGAAAGGACTAAGTTGCAACGCCTAACCACCGAGGCTTTCTGCCTTCTCTCTACCCCAGCTGCCCAACTGGATTCACGGATGGCTCAGTTTCTGACCTCTGAGAGCTTTCTAAAATGCAGCTGTGTACGTCAAACAGAGAAAAGGAGCTCCTCTTTGAATGTAAGAAACACCTGAATTGTGCCCCTAAAACTTTGCTTTCTTCCAGAACCCTCGAGCTATGCGAAGAACAGGAGTCTTGCCACGCACTCTCAGAGCACACGAGTATCTCTCAAGTTGAAGTAAACTTAGGTGATGCACTCGGCAACATTTCCCAACAACTTCTCTGCCAGACAGAAGTACTGCGCATGAAGAGAATGGCAGGCAGGTAGCAAAAAGAACAGTCTGGCCCCAGTGTGTTAGCCGTTATTCCAATAGATTTGGGAGAGATTTGGTTGCTCTATTAGACAAAATCGCCACTTACTTAAACTGTGGTTTCCAGAGAGCAGCATGTTTTAATATTAAGCAATGCATTAACTAAGAATGTATCCTAACGACCCCAATAGAAATTGCTGTGTTAGGGCATTCACAATAAGATAGCACACATGATAAAGGATGATGGGGGTCTGGGGTGTACTGTGCTACACATTGACATTTGTTGACCACAAAGTCAGCAGCTTCAACCCATCAGGCACGCCACAGGAGGAAGAGGAGGTTGTGTGCTTTCATACAGATTTGCAAACCCCAAAGGGAAAGTTCTACTTTGTCCTATAGGGTGACTATGACCCCGTGGCAGTAGTTTGGTTTTGGTTTCTAAAGCACAGAGTGAGACCAGCTGTCAAAGTAGTCTATGAATAGAACCCAAGGAGTCTCATTCACCTGAACAATAATATTCACATTTCATCCACAAGGTTCTCGGTCCTAATGAACCCTGTGAACACTACATGATAGGAGAGTCCGTATGCCAAGGAAGGCTGCAGGACACTGAATCCTTTCCACTGACCTCCATGTCTCTCTCGGGAGCAAAGTCCTTGAGTGGTGAAAATAGCTAACGCACAAAGTTCAAATCAGCCCAGAGGGGCCTACAGTAAAGGGCTGGTAATCTATTTCTGAACAACGTAGCCCTAGGAAACTCTCTGGAACACAGCTCTCCTCTGAACACACAGGATCGGAGGAGTAGGAGTTGAGTGA